TATATATATATATATATATATAGCGGTAAATGTAAGCAACTCACAACTATTAATTTGGTTGAAACCATATGAAGTCAGCTTGCCGTCAATGGGTGTAATCTAGACTTCAAAAGAAGCCTTGCTAGATTATGTTTTGCTTAAGACAATCCACTGAAATTCCGTACAAATTTTTCCAAAGACTTACTTTTTATTTTTTTCCCCTTTTTATGTTTATTTATCCTATTCGTTTAAGAAGGCTTTTGGTCCACACATTTGTCTTGCTGAGCCTTTTCTTTTTTTTTTCCAAAAGCTTCCACAAGCGCTGTTCTTTATATTGCCTTTACTATAAATTGTAGCATGAACTCAGTTTTCCCTTTATGCTACTTTTGAGAGCTTGGACTTTGATGATGGGGATGGAGTGAAAGAACGATACGGGCAGAGATACGAAATGAGTTCAAAAATTCTAGCTATATGTTCAATACCATAGAAGGAAGATTACAAAAGCGCGGCTAAGTTTCTATGGCTATTTTGTCTCAAAATTAATGTCGTCGAACATACAGGTAAGGATGTGTCAAGTCAATTTTCATTATTTTTTTTTGTTTAAACCGACCAACGTATCAGATTTTTTCAAGATCACATTTTTCCGGTCTGAACTGCATTAGGGTATCCACATTTATTTGAACGCTTCAACATGATCTGTATTTCGTTTTAAGTGAAGGAGAGTTGCTCAGTTCTCACTCTCTCTCTCTCACTGCCTATTTGCTCCAAAGGTAAGACTTAGTCAAGAAGACTGGAACTAGACCGGGATGCAGTGGATGACCAGGCTGCGTGTCTTGCGTCTCACCGCGCTCTACTGCGTCCACATCGCAGGACGTTGTCGGAATTTCCTTTGATTCGATGCCATACCGCGTACGGTACTCCATACCCGGGTTTAATTTCAGAGTTTTCCCTTCTCTTAGACGAGTTTCCTTCCAAGGTTAACCGATCCCATTCACCTGGATTCACCTTGTGGTGTATTTGGTTGTCCGGGCTGGGAGCATTGAGCTCCAGTTCAAAAGCTTTGGATGGGGGCAGTTTAAATCGACCTTAAAATTGTGTGTCACAACGCAACTGGTTGCACTGTCAATATTGTTTCCACGGTTTGTTTCTTCGTCTCAGTTTCAGAAAACATCGAGGCAGAATGACGCCAAGCAAGAACCGAGGTTCT